TCCTGCAGCTGGGCTCTGGGCGGGGGGGTGTCTGGCCCCCCTGCTGGGCTCTGGTGGGGAGGGGGTGGAGAAATAGGAACTGGGTTGTCATAGGGGTTTCCTTAACACTCTACTCCTGGAGGATTTTTTTGTGTCTGTATTGTTACAGACATAGTTGCTGATCAGTATTTTGAAATAAATACAAAATAATTGAAACTAGTGTGATTATATAGTGTTATTTTGGCAAATAAAATATGCAGAATTTTAAAATGTTGTGTGCAGAATTTTTAATATTTTGGCACAGAATTCCCCCAGGAGTATGAATTGGAGCTATATGCATTCGAATTGGCCTCCCAGACAGCTTTTAGAAAAACCATGAAATAGAAGACTTGACATAAACTGAAATGTCTGAGGAGGGATTTAATATTCCCTGGTTATCCATTCAGGCTCAGATCCAGCTTTTGGGTTTTGTGCAAAGCTGCCATCCGTGGCAGTGGAAGCTGAGCACTTGGAATGCTGGCAGGGAGAGACCCATCGCAACGTGGACTAGGTAGTGCGGGATAGGAAGGAAAACACTATGGAATCCTGAACTCCAATGTGAGAGATACCATTAGAATGCATTTCTAATTACTTCACACCTCTTTGGTATGTGGGAGAGCTGGATATCTGAACATTGTCACTGCTGAAACTCGCAGTAAAAAACAACCTGGCACAAACACACCACAACCAAGGGCATTGCCCCCAAGCACCTGTGTGACATTCTGTATCTCGAGGGAACACCTTACACCCCCATGTTTTTTATAAAATGATGATGTGGTATCTAATGCAAAGTTTGTCATGGTGGGTGTCTTCAGAAGACTCATGATGCACTGAGCATTGTTGTTATAGTAATTGTTGTTACAGTACTGTTATAGGTTATAATTTCATATATATAGTTATGAGGCTGAAAATGTGTCCTCGTGGCTTAAAATAAACCCAGGCAAAAACTCTCCAAGAGCAGAGAGGCAGTTCACACCTCATCAGGGCATGTATGGGACAAACCCAGCCTAGCCTCACAGGAACAAAGGATGCTGGCCTAGGCAGCAACAAAAGGATCTGTTGAACTCTTGAGTGAATTGCACCTCTTCCTTTGGGTAATGCTCACCTGACTCGTGGGGGGGCGGGGGGGGGCGGGAAGGGCAGCGGCACAGCCAAGAGGGAGGAAAGAACATGATAAAAAGGAGAGATGTTTGCCATGCACACACACACTCTCTCTCTCCCACCTCCATCTACAGACATCACCACCACGCGACTGAAGAGCTGATCAAAGGGGAGAGCCTGGCTGAAGAGCATTGGACATTGAAAGTGTTATGATCAGCTTAGAAAGTGTTTTGCTTTTATTTCAGTTGACCAAATCCAACTTATTAGGCTTTGAGTTATAATCACTTAAAATCTCTTTATAGTTACTAAATCTGTTTGTTTGTTCTACCTGAAGCAGTGCGTTTGGTTTGAAGCGTGTCAGACTCCCCTTGGGATAACAAGCCTGGTACATATCAATTTCTTTGGTAAATTAATAAACTCATATAAGCTTGCAGCATCCAGTGGGCATAACTGGACACTGCAAGACGGAGGTTCCTAGGGTTGTGTCTGCGATTGAAGATAGCAGCTAGTGTCATTCGGCTGCACAATCCAAGGAGCAGCTTACACGCCAGAGGCTGTGCGTGACCAGCCCAGGAGTGGGGTTCTCACAGCAGAGCAGGTTCAGGCTGGCTCCCAGAGTCAAGGATTGGAGTGACCTAGCAGATCACCAGTCCAGATAACACCAGAGGGGAATGTCACAACCTGCAACATTGGCTCTGTGTCTTGGGGGTGGTATTTGGCAGGACAAATGAGGTTCATGGGTCTCTCTCTCACGCCTCTTTTCTCCCCGGTCCTTCAGTCAATTTCAGCCAGATTGAAAAATTATTTTATAGTTTCCACAGACCTGTAGTGCATGCAGCAATGCAGCTATGTCATGTCTTGGTTGTGTGTGTGTAAAACACACGCATTCATAGAAATGTAGGGCTGATGGGACCTTGAGACATCATCTAGTCCCAGCCCCTGTGCTGTGGCAGGACCTAGTAAAACTAGACCATCCCTCTCCAAATTGTTTTTAAACGCTTCCAATGATGGGGACTCCATAACCTCCATTGGAAGTCTCTTCCAAAGCTTAACTACCCTTAGAATTACAAAGTTTTTCCTAATAGCTAACCTAAATCTCCATTTGCTGCAGATTAAGCCTGTTACTTCTTGTCCTATCTTCAGTGGACATGGAGAACAATTGATCAGTCTTCTTTATAACAGCCCTTAACATATTGGAAGAATATTATCAGGTTCCCCCCTCAGTCAGCTTTTCTCAAGACTACATATACATTTTTCAACCTTTCCTCGTATGCCAGGTTTTTTAAAACATTTTATCATTTTTGTTGCTCTCCTCTTGCTGGGGCCTCACCAGTGCTGACGAGAGCAGGACAATTACTTCTACATATCTGAGAACTCTGCCCATGCGCAGAGGCCGGGGCAGTAGTATGTCAAGGCATCTGCTGCCTGTTACACCCACATGCGCCATCTTGTGGAAACTTTACTTTTGTTCCTTCTTGTTTTGTTTTCCTCCTAAAATAATAAAGTCATTTGTAGTGAAAGTGCAGGATTGTTCACTAGATATGGAAAACCTTAATGAGTTTGTTATGTTAATTGCTCAAAGAAAACCTCAACACATCAATTTCAAAACATGGACCAAATATAATTTCTGAAAGGGGTTTAGTTTAAGAAGCACAGGAATTGCCTGGGTAAATCCAGCCCAAGGCCCACCTCAGCTAGTAGCCTGTCTCAGACAGTGGTCAGTCCCAGATATTTCAGAGACAAGTGCCACCGCCCCACATCACACTTGCACCCCCACCATGAAGGAGTCCTAATCCCTAATGGTTAGAGTGTAGTTTAAACCCCGAAGCTGCAGGTTTAATATCTCTTCCAAAATATGTGTTAGCATTAACTCTTGTAACTTTGACTATTCTTGTTCTCCATATAAGCATCCAGTCCCTTTTGCATCTTGCTAAATTCTTGGCCTCAACATCTTCCTGGGACAGTGAGTTCCACAGGCTAATTACGTGTTGTGTGAAAAAGAAAAACGGCTCCTCGTGGAATACTGTGCAAATCAAGGGGAATAAGCGGGGGATGGACTCTAGTCCTGTGTGTTTGCTTGGGCCAGATTCTGACCTCCCTTCTACTTGCATTAATCCAGAGTGATTCCACAG